ATTCGAGAGAATTTAGCTGTGGCACCAATAGGCGATAAAATGAGAGAGAATAGACTTAAAGTGGGCTGGTCATGTGTGGTTTCGACCGAGTTTACAACACCTATGAGGAGGTGCGAGTTACTTAAAGTAGAAAGATTGAAAAGGGCTAGGGGTCGGCTCGAAAGGACGCGGTTGGAAGTAGTCAGAAAAGACATGGGGACTTATGGCCTTAGTAAGGATATGGCCTTTAATAGAGCAGAATGGAGAACTAGGATTCATGTAGCCGACTCCAATTAATTGGAAAAAGGTTAAAATGATGATGATGATGATGATATAATGGGTTTTTATGTTAGGATTGGTTGCTTTAATTTGGATAAGAGAGTGGGGTTCTTGATTGAAGAAGGCTTTATTTTGATCGAGCAAGAGAGATGGAAAGGGGTTGTTGTTTTTAATCGTACATTGGAGATATGATGAAGACAAGGGATCCAAAGCCCTTTAAAAGGGAGTCGCAACTAAGAAAATGGCATGCATAGCTTATGGCACTCCATGCACTGGTGGCGGTGGGGCTGGAGAGGTAATTACAACAAATCTAAAAATAAAATATTTAAAATACAATACATAAATTTTATATAGAAAGCTGGTGATTTGGCCCGGCTCACTGACGAAACCGGGTGGTTCTCAATATATGGTGGGAGTTGGATCGGTTCCAGTGATTCCTGATTCCTGATTTGCAATCTAATTGGGTGATTCCGATCGGCGTTTTTAAAACCCTAAGTGAAGAGGAAGAAAACCATGCAAGTGACTATATTTATAGCCTTAATCACATATTCAATTAGTTTGAGGAGCTAATGATAGAGTAATGGTTCTAATGATGGAGTCAAGCTTGCTATTTCTTAAATTCATGGCTTAGCTTGAGAATTAATTGTTTAGGGTGTTTGGGCAATCTCACATATGATATGTGCCCTTGTTTACCACATATGATTCAGGATTCATGAAAAGGTTTAGCAAAGTTTTATGTTGGTTGTCTACCTACATAAACCACCTCCTTTACCTTGGCTTGGGACGGGTTAAGGGAAAGTTTAAGGTCCTCACCCTTCTCAGACAATAGGTTAGTGTTGAGCTCCTACCTAATACAACCCACCTCCTTTTCAGTGATTAAATAGGTTTACATCAGGCCTCAGCATTGAGCCCATACCTCTTTGTCTTAGTTATGAGCGACTTCACTAAGCACCTAAAAAAGAGGTACTATGGTGTATATTGTACGCGAACGACATAGTTTTGATTCAAGATAAAGAAGGGATAGAACTCGAAATGAATACATTTGAGTGAACTTAGGTGTGACTTCAATAGGCGATAAGATGAGAGAAAGTGGATTTAGTTGGTCTGGCCATGTGCAGTGCAGATCCAATACGAGACATGTTAGGAGGTAGGAGTTGGTTCAAGATGAAGGCTCAAAAAGGGTAAAGGTAGGCCCAAAAGGACATGGTTGAAGGTAGAGGAAAAAGATATGGGGATTTATGGCCTCATTGAGGGTATGACCCTTGATAGAGCAGAATGAGATTCGTGTAGCCAACCCCAAATAGTTGGGAAAAGGCTATGTTGATGATGATGATGATGACGACGATGATGTTGTCATTTTGAGGTCCAATATTCTTTTAAAGTTCATCAAACTGTATAGATTAACTAAAGTTGCACAGCTGTTCATATATCTTACGTTTCAAATAATAGTTTTTAATTCATTTTTTATTAACCAATGCAGTGTGAAATTTGGGTGGAGTTATAATTGGATATTAATGGAGTATCCATTTGCTAACTTTGATCTCAACAATACGCATGAGAGGTGAAGCAAATGGCACGTAAACTGTTGGGAGAGGGCAGTTGATAAGCTTGAGAGCCTGCTTCGAATTCTACAGCTTACGGATGGATTGTTTGCAAAAATTTGCATCTGAATGTTATAGGAATCTTCAAGAAATAATTCTTAGATGGGTGATGATTTAATCTGTTTAGTATGAATAGGAAGTTGTTGGGGTTCGTGGATCAAGGTGGAGCTGAAAGCAAGGGGTAAAAGTCTCGAACTGGTTTTCTTTGGAGGTCAAGAATGAAGGAAAATCTAGCTGAAATTGGTGTAGAATGCAATTCATGATGATAAATACGATGACACATGTAGGGCACTGAAAGTGAAGGAGAGAGGATAGATGGAAGGTTAGAGAGATGCTACTTGAAACATTTATATGGGAATGCGGTTGAGGTTATTTGATGTACGATAATGGAGAACGAGTATTTTCTTGAAGAGGGAGAATGGGGTGGTAGAAGAAGGATGGGATTGTCAAATTGAGAAGTTGCACAGTTGTTTTATTTTGGGCTTCTCACACACTTGGCATCTATTATTGATTCTACGAACAGGAGCATGTGTAAGATCTAATGTTCTACTTTCTTTTCTAGAAATCTGGGTTATGCTTTTGTTTGGAAGTTTTAAAGAATAGGTCATTCTAATCTTTTGTCTCCAACAATGTTACGTTTGTTGATGCATTACGGGATGTTGAATGCCATATATGCAATAAAATACAGGAGTTGCAAATTTTAAGAAAGGTTAGGAGTGGTTTGATGTGGATGATATGGAGATGTTATGCTTGCAATGCATTAGTATAGGTGCATTAAAACTTGTCTGGTTCCAGGTCGCATATATGAAGATGGCAATTGTTATATCTTTGGCAGATTATGATGAATTCAGTCTAACGAAAGTGGTGGAATACTAGATTTTTCATATGTCAAAGTGCATTTGGTTGCAGTTTGTTGTAGGCAGTATTTACGATGGCTGTTAAGATGTCTAATAATGATGTAAGAATTTCAGCTGAAGTGAGTGTCATTTTGAGTCAAGAGTATATCTTGTGTACTTCAGACACTCAGATTGCGAATCAAACTGTATGGCTGCCATGATGGTTGCTAGGCCCAGTACTGGAGGAGGTTTCGTTGATATTTGTGGGGAAGGAAGGGCTTGGTTGCAAAACTACTGGTAAGGATAATGCTACACTACAATGACACAGATTTGAGGATGGATAGAATTGTTTAGATTTTTGAGATCAAGTTGCAGGGGATACCCACCAGTGAAAGCTCCTTGAAGGTGGTGACTTTGGGTGGCATGGGCGAGTGCCATAGGTTGAATGTGTTTCAAGCTGTGATTTCTTAGTTGCAGGAGCCTTGCACCTGGGTAGCAATCTAAGCTGCCAAATCAAATGATCCCAAAGTAGTTTAGATGCAATTCTTAATGGAACATTGTATCATTCAACTTCTTTTTCTCTCATGAGTGTTCCCTGGTTGTTTGTACTAACCAATGTTTTTAACTCAAGACTCCTCTTGGGACTTAACCAGATCTCTATTCCAGTCTCATCGAGTCAAATTGACGACGTCTCTTTAAAGATTAAGAGTGGATGATGAGACTGGGCCGATTCTAGTAAGACTGATTGAGCCAAGTCTGCTTACATGTGTCCCAAGATGACTTTGTTAGTTTTGAACGCTGCTGGTGACTAAGTGTGCTGAGGCTCCATGTTACTTGGCTGGATTTGATTCAACGTGAGATTACAATTCTTTTTGCAACAAAAGAAACATATTGCACACATTTCAGTGTGTCCTTGTCCTTGTAACATGGAATTTTTTTATTTTTTTAATGTGTTATTTTGGTTATGTAACTGTGAAAAGGTTGGTTGATAGTTTCATCAAGTGTTGGTATTTAAGTTTGGGCATAAAAGCAAGTTTGTTAGGAAAGGAGAGTATGGTCTCAGGCTTGCTAGGGGCAAGTTACCGTTTGAGGAGCTTGGATGAGCAATGATTGGTAGAAAGGGGTACAAATTCTTTTAAATGCCGGTCTCAAAAAAGTCTTGCACTCCCACCCACCCCTCCACATGCTCTTGCCTTCTTAATTTGTACCATTTTTTGAAAAATTTATGCTTTTCCTTATGAATCATCCATGGATGGTCCGTGGATTACCTAAACTAGACAATAGTAAAGGATTGAAGTTTGTGATAAATACCAAGAATCCATAAATCTATTTTAGTTTTTACGTGAGCATGAATATTAGAAGGGTTTTCATGATACTGATGTTCATCGACAAATACTTGTGAGAATATGTAATTTGTCATTTGTTTACTTTTACTACTTCGGCACCAAGGGACTGAAAGTATCTTTTTCCAGGATACTTGGAAAATAACCATCCTTCAATCATTATTTTTTAGGGAAGTTCATTAGACCGTGAGACACCAAAGTGGTCTTAAGGAAAACTACCTATGTGAAATATTGGTATTTTGAACCAACATTCACTGTGAACACCTTGTGAGATTTTGGTATTCGTAGATGCCAATGTCTCAGGGGTAACTTTGTGAGAACACTCATGCTCGGTGACCCCTGGCTGTTTTGTATCTTTGTTTTTTCTCTCTTCCTTGAATACAATGTTAATAACATCAAAAAGAAAAAAACGTTGTGAGATATTTGTGTTTAAAAACACCAATATCTCATGGGGTTGACTTAGTGAAGATTGTTCCAAAACACCAAATCTCGAAATTGTTTAGGGTGAGATATTTGGTAGTTGGAAACATCTTTGGTATACAAAAGTGATATCAATCTCATATCGGCGGTTTTCCTAAAAGTACTTTCGTATTGATGCAGGGCCAAAACTGGAAACAACCCCTCCAATGTTTTCTAACCCATCACTGACCCATTATGGCATTGCCCCCTTTGAGGGATTTTAAAAATTAAGGACAAAATTATATTTGAAAAGTTAAATAATGCATCTTTTAAGGGGAATTTGATGAGTTTCCATTTTCTATGTGGTATTCCATTATATTCCATTACTTGAATATTGTTGTATAAAAAATTGTCCTTCTCATGCACTGTTTTTGCTACTATTGCTCACATGCCACGGTCTGCATTCGTGACGATGAACTGTGTATTTGTATAGCTAATTACTCTTTGCTGGTATCCTGAACCTGAACTTTTCTTACAGTATATTGCTATGTTTTTATTTGTAGGGATGAAGCTAAAGAATTACAAGGACGGTTGTTGCAGAAGAGTGACCAAGGAGTGTCTGTAAGCTGGCCAAAACGTATAAAGAAGTATGAAACACATCTATGATACCCAGATACCTGTGTATACCTATCATTTCAATGTCAACATGAAATGGCACGAAATAATTAGTGGATACTTGTAAATGTAAAACAATATGAATATTAGAAGTGTAGTAGGAATAAGATGATGTGCATTTTTTTTATGCTGTTAACTGCAAATAAGATGTACAATATGTCCGTGATATGGCATATATGTGAATCAATGTGTAATACATAACGCTATAATGTATGTATCATTGAGTCGGATAGAATACTTGTATTTCAATCTGTGCATCTTAGAACATAATGTAGTGCACTTGTAGCTTCAAATATGATAAACTCAAATAATGATCTAGTTGGTTTTTTATTGTCAAATTTGGTACATGTTGTGGTTTTTGCCATATTGATTTACTAGCAATTGATTGTTAAATTTGTTTCTGTGGAACATGCGACCTATAAAACAAACATGTATTCATATATTGCTAATGTAAGATCAGAATCATGATTTGATTAATTGGAAAAAAATATTGCCTCTTACACTTCTTGTTTTTCTTTAAACTAAGCCATCACCAATAGTTAGATGTATACTTGTGTGGTACATAACAATCATTTAGATGTATTCTTCATGAGTATGTAGCCTTTAGAATGTATCCTTCACAACATTTTAGATGGGCCCTGGTTTGTTTATCTAGAGACTGAGAGTATTATTACTCTTGCCTCGAAAACCTTAAAAAAGGTATCCAGATCTGCATGATTATTGTTTGGCTGTTGTCCAGGACTAGTCATAACTTCAAAGGATAACAGCGGGAATGACTACATTGCCTGAGTGACATAGAAGAAGTAATGGAAAAGGCAACAGAAGATAGCAAACCAAGTGAGGCTGTTCACTGGGATGTGTGCGTTAGTCAATCTAAAAATAAGTGCTAGGCTCGGTGATGGAATAACTGTGCCTTATTTTCTTTTTAGATCAGTTAATAACTGCCTAACATAATGTCAACAAAATTCAGAAAGAGAAAGAAAAAAAAAAAGCTACTTACATTAATGCTGGTAACACAATACATAAAGAGAAAATCACCAGATAGATGGAAGGATGAGCTAAGCAACTAAGCTATATACATGCATATTAGTGATGACAAAAACTAGTTGGATTGACTTGTAAAACTCAAGGAATAGTCGGATGTGTTGAAGAGTTTTAAGTAACACTTTAGTTACCAACTGTACTTGATTTCCTGGATCTTACAGTCCAACATATACATGAGAAGCCAAAGCATCTGTGGATATGTCAGCCTGGATTGGGTCTCCAAATGGCTTTGGTTCTGGGGGCTTTTCCTCTTTGTGAACTTTTATCAGCATTAAACATAATTGCGAAAAAACATTTATTGCCACCATTAAGGATCATGAAACTCTTTGCGAGAAAACATTTATTGCCACCATTAAGGATCATGAAACTCTTGGTTTTCTAATAAAAGTTCCTTGGAATAACTGATTTCTGGGTTTTATTTGAAAGTGTACTAATAAATCTCATAGTTTTGCCAGTTTGATGTGAAATTTCATGGGCCATATCCGAAATCTGAGAGCAGATGAAACAAATGATCTGTTCTTCCGGAACGGCCTATTCATGGATTTGATGTATTATTAGTTTTACAGTGTCTATGCGACCCTTTTAAAGATTTGGTGACATTTGCAATTTCCTTTCTGATCTGCTTAGTTATTGTGCTTCAATTTTTAAAAATCATTTCCTATAAATGTTGTTAGATGTGCTTTGGATAACTGGTTTGTCTTCCACAAGCAGAAAAACAGCAGCATCTTATAAAGAGCTAGCAGCGAGGAAGAAGAGGGCATATGATTTAGAGAAAATGTACATGGAGATGGCTTACCAGAAGGAACTGAAGGTACTTTATTTATCTTTAGTGTGTTGTCAAATATCAAAGAATATGAGGGGATCTTTGGTTTTTTTTAATTGCTCACCTGAACAAGGATCTCATAGCATCATATTTTGTTTTGAACAGAAAAAAGGGCAGAAGCGCAGAGTCAAGGATCATGAGCTCGTTTCCCCTACTGACAGACCAGTGTACAAATGGGAACGGGAACGCAAGCGGTGAAAGGTATGCATGTTGTCTCTCTCTTTCCATGAGGGACATAAAGATTGTCACTCTATTTCTCAATTAACCTATAAGTCAACGAGTGTGGTCGAATGTTCTGATGGTGAGTTTCAATGCTGTGTGTGTGTGTGATAGAGAGAGTCAAAATGGGATTCTGACTCAATGCTAGATTGAAAGAGAGAGAGATTCTTTTGTTTTTCTTTGCCCCAATGGAGGAAGCTAATGGCCTATTTTTCTCCAGCTTGCTGAGACATGAAGATCACATAATTTAAACAGTTCACACAAGTGTATTGGGCTTACTGATTCAAAATGGCATGCCTTGCCTACAGCTGCAGAGAGTGATTAGGGTTCATCTAAGATGGACATCGACATGGCTACCACTGGCCCTGATTAATGCTGAATTATGTGTAATTTAATGAGAATTATAGGGAGAATAAATTTTGATGCATTTATTTTCACCCCCCCCAACCCCCCCCTCTGTCTCTTCTGATAAGTTTGGTAAATTAGATTAGCTCTGTTGCCTCTGATTACCTCAATATACTTAACACAATTTTGTTCGATCTGGGTGGTCCATCCCAGCCAGTCTTTGCCAGTCTAGATGTTTATTACTATTTGTCAAAAGTTAATGCATGGATAGAGAGCCCAACTTTTTGCTTTGAAGATATTTAAGATATGTTTTTATTATGGAGGAGCTTAGGTTGCATATTCTAGCTTTTGAATTTTGGCTTAGGGTGAATTTTTGAGGTTGGATGCGAAGCATTTATTGTGTGTGAGAGTGAGAGACTTGTGCACTTTGAATGAAACATAAACAAAAGCGTGTATACTATACTTTTGAAGACCTACTTGGAAGGATTTTGTCATTCTGGAATTTCAGAAGCCTCTTAAGAATCATTAGATTTTATTTTATTTTTAAAACAAAAGGATTGAAGTAGGGTTTTCTAAAGATTTCACTCTCCAACGGACAATCTATGAGGCATTTTCTTTTTCAAGTTCATCAGAAGTTTCTTTTCTGAGCATGTGTAGTATGCTCCTGTCGAAGCATATTTATTGCACGCCTACTTGTGGAAAACACCTATGTAGAAAGAGTATTTTATTCAGATTTTGGGAGCTACATAAGAACTATTAGATGATTATTATCGAAAGAAAACAGTATGAATTTTAAGTTTTGTGACACTTACATCTAGCAGTTCAAGAAGAGTAATAATCTTACAGGATCTTTTCTCATCCATGTGTGTAGGATTCCAAAGGATCTCTATTAAAATTGACACAACTCGTTAGAAAAGTTATCATTTGAGTGTGGGATATAACTTTTTTATAGATCCGTGTCAAATTTAATGGTTATCTTTTGAGATTCTACACATGGGTGGGAGAGGGTCTTATATGATCATTTCTCTTTAAAAAATTGGATGGTCTCTGTTCAATCCGGCGGCAATTTATTGGTTATAAAGATTCTCTCCCCATGTGATAAAAAACGTATGGGTAACATGTACCCGAGGGAGTAAATAGATAGTGATGTACACATTCCGGGGTGCGAAATCTTTTGATTTATGTTATTGAGGTCAGTCTATGAGTTGAAGAGGTTACTCCCCTGGTCTTAAAATTAAGCTTAGATTGAGTATTACTCGAAAGAGGAAATGAACATTATGCTCTTGCATAAGCATGAAATCTTTTAACAAGAAATAATCATCCAATACAATCCTTACCAGGCATGAGAGAGAGATCTGAACACAAACTCGGTTATGATACACATCCCTTCCTGACATCGTTCTCTCCATCCATTTCATTCACCTCACATCCTTTTTTTCCCATCCCTGTCATTCACATTCTTTCTCCATCCATTTCATTCACCTCACATCATTTTTTTCCCATCCCTTTCATTCACATTCTTTTTACCGCGACATCGTTCTTTCTCCCTCTATTTCATTGACATTCATCCTCTCAATATTTTTATGTGCTTCTTCAATCATTCAATTAGTAAGAGGTCAAGTTTAGTTAAAACTAGTTTAACCCTTGTTAAATTGTATTTTAAAAAAAATTAATTTAAAAAAAAATACTATTTTTTTTTTTTCAAGCAGTTCAATTAGTCAAAAGCAGCTATTCCAACCAATTAAAACAAGTGAAACATTTATTTCAACTGATTTTTAACCAAAGTCGGTTTTTGTTTTGGGCCACACTAGCCAAGGAGCCTTTTTTGGGGGTTTGGATGGGGTAGTAAGGTCCAATTTTGATAACCATGTTACAAAATCATCTCTCACATGCACCTTTTGGGGTATGATCGGATGGACAGGGCAGTCCGGTCTGGTCTTACTATGTTAAAAGAACATCTCAGGTAGTTCTCCACCATATAAATAATAGCACCAGGACTCTCTCTGTAGGGCAAGAAGAAAGAGGGGCAAACAGTGCAATGGATTGTACTCATCACTCATTCTATACTAGTTCCATGGGTTACAAAAACTTTGAAGAGTCACAACCCTACACAAAGCACAGATACATAATAGCTATGATTCTTCACAAATGACACTCATCAATAGTTACAACCATTTAAAATTAGACATAACTGCAAAGAGACAATTCTTAAGACACATCCCCACCTTATAAGAAGGGAATCTATTTGCCATGTGCGGCGCTCTAGAAACTCCTCTGTAAATGTCACCTACCCCACATTCTCTTTAGGGGTAGGGTCTCCTTTTATTATTACGACATTGTGCTGACCTCTTAACTGCATCTTAAAAATGTAGAATAGATAATGAGTTTCATGGCCTAGCCAATCATCCACAAAACCTTGAAACGACATATTCTGCAATCGCCATACTTGATGTTAGTCCAGGCGATTCAATCCCAAACAAATTCACCAAACCAGGAACGCCATGAACATCCTCCCCCTGCATGGAAGTCCAATAACACGTAAACTATCACTGATAGGTATTCCTTCTTAGTTTTTTAAATCTGTCCTGCTCATTAGATAAGGTACTAATATTGGGCTAGTATTCGATTACATACATTATGAACTGAAACCTTCTTTCGTTTACTTGAAAGCTCACAATATAACCCAAGCTCCCCCAAGACGTGTACAGAAAAACTCATATATAGATCCATTCTTTCAAATCCGAACCAATTACACTTCTTTAACTCAACTATTTTGTATTGCTCTTTCTTCTACCTTTTTGGCAACCCTTTCTTTTAGACCAAAACAGAATCAATGCTGACAATTATTTCAAACTATTGAGGAAATGGTAATGTCCTGATAGTGGAGTGGCCCAAATACTTTATCCACAAAATACTTCTATCCATATTGTTCTATATGGTGGCACATCTCTGAATATGATTTGATTACTCTAAGAAAAGACCTAACCTTAGATAATCAGGTAAAACTCATTTATTATAATGAAGGCAGTGCAGAAATATTACCTGTACAAGAAAGTCGGTAGGAGGTTTCCCAGGACCACATAGCTTTGGCCTTATTCCTGCATATCCTGGCTCTAGAGATCCATCCTTCAAATTAGGATAGTATTTTTTTATTTCTGGGTAAAATCTTTTCGCGCGATTGGCATCAACTGAATAATCAAATCTAAAATAAGCATAGGAACAATCAGAAGCATTACAAGGAACAGCCAGTATTTGCTCGCATATGAGCAACATTAATACGCACGTTGAAGTTAGATGGTGTTACTAAAATGAACAATGGTCAAAAGTTACAGGGAAAGAATCGAGTTTGAAATATAAGAGTGACAGCCTCTCAATTACCAAAGAACATACAACAACAACAAAATTATATGTAAAGGAACAATTCTCTACTTAGGACCGATAGAAAAGCATTCACTAGATAGGAGAAGCTGATGAGGTAAAGAAACCAAAATAATATTCATCAGTATGGTTTTCAGTTAAGTTTTGTATGTCTGTCCCATGTGCACAACTTGATGTATCTCTCTTTCACTTAATCATTGGATAAATACTTAATTAAAAAAAATGTGCAACTCAAGCATTCACTTGAGAGCACACCTATCTTTTACTTTCTTTACATGTCTTACTAGTAGTGAAATGAGTGATCTAACTTCAGAAAATTTTAGAAAAAACCAATATTTGCAATTTTCTAACTAGTTGTCAACTGAGCATGGCTATCTTTCATCTCTCAACTCCAATTTTAGAGCAAGAATCTCTTATCTAAGGGCTCATTTCATTCCCTTATATTGCAAATTTTACTTGACAATACTTGCACCACATACACACATGAGCAACTGCATATCAAAATAAATATGCATGTGTGTATAGCTACGGAGAAAGATTATGTGGTCTGGCCCAAACACCTAATTCAGTGGCCTAACCCCAAAAAACCATAATTAAAGGGATTTTTTTTTAATGTGAATATTTCAGAATATTTCATATATATTTTTATTCACCTTGTGAACAATTCCTAAAAAATAAGGTTTCAAGCTCTTAAAACCCTAGTTCAGTCGTCCCCGGAATGGAAGGTTCATAGTCAATCTTTGAGGAGGAATTGATTTGGAGCATTTTCTGATCTCCAAATCATTTTCAGGGAATTGATGTTGGGGGTGACTGATCTGGAAGTTTTTCGATTGGACAAATCCTGTTAACCATGTTTTTTTTTGGGGGGGCAGGGGGGGGCGACCCCCTAATACATGCCCAATAACTAAAACAAAACATATTTTGCACATGGATAAGAAAATTGAAACACTATGGCACTTCCTCTCCTGATTTCACTCCCAATGGCAGCCTATAGTCTTGAATGCCACCATTAGATCCAGTGGCTCTGGAGTATACTTCTTTATTGGTAGCAGGCAACAGCAATGAATCACTTTCTTTCTAATTGTTAAAAATAACTTTGTTAACTGGAGCGTAATAACCGTCCAAGGTTGCATCAACAAAACAACATTAACTAACACATAAGCAATTTGTTAGCTTCTCCAGGGATGCAATTACTAGCTTATCTAGTGACATAGACAAAGCAGAGGAAGTTGGACTAATCATGACTGTGAAACTACTCTTGAATATGGGCCAAAACCACAAAAAGAATCTCTTTCCAAAAAAAAAACTCTCTTCCACCTCAACACAAGTAGAAGGAGAACATTATTATGTTTTGACATGTCAATTCTAAACATGTAGATGCAATTCATTTCTGCCTTCAGGACATGTTTCTGAAGGTTTCTCTGTAAACAAAGAGGAATATCATGAAAAAATATCTAACAGAAGTCCTATATATCTCATGAAAAAGTCTGCTGAAATTTTTGCAGCTGAAACCTTATGACAATAGTTCTTTGGATTTCTTATATGCCAGACCAGTTCATTGATGAAATGAAAGATGCCATTATTAACAATAGATCCCCATCTAAACTGAATCTCATCAAGAACTTCTATAAGAACTTCTACAAGTAACACATCTAAACTAAGTCTCTATAAGAACTTTTTGTAGTGTTAATTATTATGAAAATGATCAATATGGTGTATTCCATGTAGGCCAAATGAATCTCACAAAAAATAAGGAAATCAATTCTAAAAGTTGGAATGCAAGTATCTAGAAGTATCTACCAGAAGTCTTAACTTCCATTTAATGCCTAATCTCATTGTTGTTTCTTCAGTTGTAAGAGAAATAAGAGAGATAATTACACAAATGACTGGTTACATTTGATGTTAAATCCTATTGCAAATTCTTCCATAATGCGAGAAAAGGGAGAATAACTATACTTGTTCAAAAAGCTTGACAAGTCATCCACATCTTTAAGCCATTCAACATCCGGCCCAAACCTTACTTGGCCATTCATATCGAGCGTCACATGTACACCAATTCCACCATCCTCGGGAAGAGGGTAAATTAAATGGTTAAAAGGAGGCTTTCCAATTCCAGATAGAGTAAAATAGCAACCCCGAGCATAATAAGAAGCTGGAGTAATCTCATGTCTTAGCCCATGAAATCTTCTAGAGAGAGAGAGGGCACTCAATCCAGCTGAGTTGACTACAAGATTGGTACTTAATATCAACTGAGGTTGCAAAACATGGTCACCACCAAACTTCTCAAGTTCTTTGCTTTCCACAACATGCAGATGAAAGCCATTGTTGTCTGAGTGGCCACCAATAACAGCAGTGTTATAAGAAAAGCTTGTTCCATAACTCTCAGCCTCACCCTGAATTCAATGTCATGTTATGGTTAGGGAATCTTTTGGTAATTATATATATATGTGTGTGTGTGTCTATAGACACCCACGCACACAAGCACACACACACATATATGTTTGCATGTAGGCATTTTATGTATGTATGCATGTATTTATAATACATTCATTTATGAGGGAACCAATTGAAGGGGTTATATATATATATATATATCTTATATTATACGTATGTGTGTGTGTATATATGTATCTATTTATATGTATATGTGTATGTAAAACACAGTCATTTATGTGGGTACCTAATTGAAGGGCGGCGCAGGATGATGGTGAGGGGTGTCTAGCTGCATACATAGAGCTCAACTTTTATTTTTCAAGAAATGGCGAAGAAGCTTATTACTACTGCTTTTTCACCAGAATTTAATCTAAAATTGAGTGAAAATATAATGATGATCATTTTGCAGCATGGGCACCACTTATCCATACAACATAGAGTGCATGCCTATTCATATACACGTGCAGCTATGCCAGTCAAACACATATGGATGCATGTGTATGTGTGTTTTACTTGTGCATTTGTACACGCACAGGCACTAAGCCTTTTCATTTCTCATGGTTGATAAAGAAAGTGACTGAAATAATTTGGAAAAATTCTTTCTTGTCGTGATTAACAAGACAAAATAAAATGAGGAAAATCAAGAAAAAAGTTGAATATATCTCAATATTAAAACAAAAATAAAATATCTTAGAAAAAACATTTACTGCAAATTATAAATTAAGACCCAAGACTAAATGTTTTAATCGTTTGTTTAAGTTTCACAAAAACATAAAAGGATGTGGTATTTGGAGTGTCTTGAACATACTAATTTATCCACTAAGCTGAAAATTTGTTATTGCTGTGGATCAAGATATGAATTTTAGCTAGTAAAAGAAATATATAGAAAACAACAGATAGAATGCAAAATATGAAAGTGATATAATCATATCAGATTCATTAGCTAAGGAGGGGATACATAGGAGTGAACTAGTTATCTCACCACCCTCTCCATAGGCATTTTGTCCTATTTGTGATTTTGTTTTTTTCTGAGTGTATAGATCAATTTTGTACATGACATGTTCATATATTAGTATGCATCTCCTTGGTAAATAAGAGCTGTGGTACAAAATAAAAGAGTAAAGAAACATGTGAGACAAAGCTCCAATTTTTTCAATATTAAATGGAAAAATGCATAAATTATATTAGTCTCCCTAGTAAGTTGTATTATAAGATGTTCCTGTTTCCATTTTTTGGAAAGTACTTACAGATTCTGCACATTGGACTATTATAAAGGATTACAATAACCAATTTTTCTCACACATTACCTTGTAGGAAAATAAACAATTATTGATCATTGACATTTGAAATAAAGAAGGAAAAAGTTTATGTAAGGTTGACAACTTAAAAAGTAGAATTAAGGTTCACCTCCAAAGTCCTTCAAAAAAGGCCGTTTTGATGTTGGAAAAACATCTAATTATTCATCTCAACATAGGGATGTATCGATATGAAGAAAAAAACGATTTCAAGTCCTTAAAATAGTACATCTTGCATTATATGGACCGTCCATTTTCATGATTTCCATGCATTTATAGATTTATATAATCAGCCCACCTAAAGAGCAAAGGAATAGTACATTACCACCATAGAGAGCATAAGTGAATGGCTATCAACTATTCCAGTACAAGGAGACCACAAAGCCTTGATACATTGTAATTCCCGTTCCATTTGCATAGCTTCTTCACCATCTATCATCTTTAGACCCTCAACACCATTCTCTATTCCAATCTTCAAGAGAGCTTCCAATTTTGGAACCTCTGAATCCCTAGTAGCAACAATGAGTTTTCCAATCCTTTTGTGTGGAATCTCATGGTATGAACAATACTTGTATAACAACTCCCTTCCTTGAACACAAAAAAGCGCCTAAATTACCCGAAACTAGATCAGTTACAGAGAGAAAACAAAGAAAATTTCTTAAGGGACATTGCATTCCAAACTTTAAATCTAAATTCCAAAATTAAATGGTAAAATACAGCAGAGATCGTATGGGTGAGCAAGCGATCGAACTATTTTAATCAGATAAAACGAAATATAATAGCAATCTTAAACTAGCAATATTGTCAAGTGCCAGCATATGAACCTAATTCAAATGTCAAGGAAGTTAATAAAAGAACAAGTTTTAATCTTAAGCAAAACCGTGAATTGTACTCCAATTCAACTTGGGAACTAAATATTAAGCTTCAATGTCAAATTAAATTTCCAGGCATTATGATTTCTAACAAAAAAAAACACACATTAAACAATGAATAACAATCAAGAATTGAATAATTTGAACCTGCTATAACATGTTTTTTGCTACAAAAACAAAAAATTACATTAGTGTATGTACACTAAATTTCAGGAGAAATTGAACCATATCAAACAAAGGAAGATAAAAAAAAAAATGGTAGAAGAGAGCAGACCTTAAATGATTTAGTGGGGTAATAAATCCCAGCATGAATGACCTCACTGTTTCTTGAGCTAGTTCCTGTTCCAAAAGTGGAAGCAGCTTCAATTACTAAGACTTGCCTTCCCTTTTGGGCCAGGGCTCTAGCCACTGCAATCCCAACAATCCCAGCCCCTATGACCACACAGTCAGCCTTCTCTTGGGGTACCTTCTCAAATGTGTTGGTGTTAAAACCCATTGATCGCCTGTATTGGAACAGGGGTTTCCTGCAACTTTTGAGCCTCTCAAGTGCAGATTTCAGCATTTTGAGAACAGTAAGAGACAGATAGGATCAAATGGAAGACGTTTGTTTTTAGAGGAATTGGAGAGAGAGAGAGAGAGAGAGAGAGAGAGAGAGAGAGAGAGAGAGAGAGAGAGAGAGAG